TTATGCTCACACCATGCACATCAAATAAACAAGACTTTTTTCTAAGCAAATACTAGTCATAATTCTCATTCATTCTGAGGTCTTCAAAGGCCAGATCGTTATTTTGTATGCTTGCATCTCACTCCTACTCATCCATTCATATTGCTTAACAGATTTTTTTTTTTTGTCCTGGATTGCATTCATTGAGAAAGTCTAGCTTTTTTTTCATTATCACTCACACCTAATATGCAGCTATCACTAACTATGGATTTCAAGTTTTTTACGTACCCACAAAAACCTAAGTTGATATCAATTCATACCTAGTGAAACTTGAGTTCTTTCATTCATATTTAAAATGCACTTCATTTCCATACATGCATCTCTACTCCATAAAATGAACAAGCAACATCCAAGTCAGCATAGATACATACACTTTAATCTACAAATATTCATGCAAATTTACTCAAAACTGGCTTGTCACTGTTCAGGAGAATCTCTATGATAAAAATGAATGTTTTATCAAGAATTATTTTTGTTTCAGACAATATCTGTAATCTTCAACAGACAATATATAAAAATTGTTATGGACAATGGGATTAATGAGTAAGGAAGAACAGAAAATGCTATTAAAATGTTTGCTTTATTTTATTTTCATTTAAATAAGAAGCAATGTTTTAACAGTATTAGAAACTTTGTTTTTACAGTGAAGTCCTGTCACTATTATGCTGAGTCATATAAGATGCCCATTTTCTGCAAACCCTTCAAAAGAGATGCATCAGCTACACTGCAGATAGTAAGGAAAATGGCTGGGTCTGCACATACATGCAGAAACAGTTGGGAGCAGCTTCTAGACAGTCATGTGAGTCTGGAAAAAAATGTTGTTACTTTGTATGTTTAGCATACATTACTGTGTATTCTGAAGCACTTCTTCCAAAGGATTTACACAGTTCTGTAACATACTGTATGTTCCAATCATGCTATTTCTTTCACTTTTCATTGGATGAATGTAAGGAAAGCAGGAGCAATAAGGGTTGGATTAAAAGTCACAAAACATTGTGATTGATAGTTCTGAAATCTTGATTTGTCTTGGGAATGATACTTATCTTAGCTAAAGATTTTCAAGCAGATTAAAGCAATGGAAGCTTAATGGCTATACATAATTTCTGTTTATACTCCTGGTACTTAAAATGTTTATATTCACATACCACAAGCAAAGTGTTTGGGTTTTGTTACAGTTATATTGACGTAGGAAATGATGCAAAACATAGTGATTCATAGTTGGATTCTGCCTTATTTGAACTCTCTAAAAATATGGTATTAATCAAAGTATTAATTAAAGTATTCTCATCTGAGGAAATTGCCATACCACAATGTTCTCCCTCAGCAATGCTTGCACTCATGAGACTGATATACCCTTTTTCATAACTGTAAGGGAATTGTTTTATCACAGTTTAAATGTATTGTTTAAACATTATCAAAATATTTAAGGAGGGAAATTTTCAAATATCGGTGATTCAGTTTTATCTGATTTCCTAGGAATCAAGCAATTAGGAAACATTTGCTATAATGTATAATGCACTGCCAGGAACTCTAAACTGGCACCCAAATGAAAAGAAAAACTACACACCATTATTATAAGGTAGGCTTAGAAAATGTTTTATGAAGCTTCTACCATCACTGTTATGTTTTATACTTTTTATGAATTATCGACCGGACAAATTAATCAAGTTACCCAATGTTTACTATAGATATGACTATTGCATTACAAATTAGTATTTTCCCTATGTGAAATATAAGCCTTTTTCCAGAGTTCATTTGTCACATACCCTCATCTGAAAAAAAAGTTTTTTTTATAGCCAATATTCCTGGATTTCTCTATTTTATTTACATAGAAATTGAGAAGCCTAGAATAACCCTTCTCAGTCCTCAACTAAATATTATACAATGTATACTTGAGTTAATTGTTTTGTTGGAAACAAGTGTACGTTCAACATACTTCAGACCGTACAAGGACTACATTGTTCCTGCATTCAGTCTGTGCAGCCTCCCTGCCCATTTGTGTTGCAGATTGAAACAATGACCAGGAAACAGATATTCTGAAACACCTGAAAAAGTTGTCAGGTGAAGAAATCCCTTCCTCAACCAAAGAAAAAAATAAAATTCAGAACAAGAAGCTCATGGCACCTTCTAGGCAGCCTTCCCCCAGCCTGGATCCATGGAAGCAGCAGAGGGTCTATTCTGGTGAAAAGAACTGGTAAGATAGACCAGTCAGGTGGAGAGGTTGTGCCTACAAGGCAAGACCTGGAAAGATATCTTTGAGACCACTTTTGGAGTTTAAGAAGCAGACTAACTGAGCTGTACAAGCCTGCTTGGGATACCTGCCAAAAGAGTAAAGGGCTGCAAAAATCTTGGGTTCCACAATTGCTTCTAATAGCAAAACACCAGTGGAAGGAGATCAGGACAAAAATGTGTCTTCTTTGGAAACTGAAGCTTCCATCTGAAAGACAACTTGTCTGCAACAATCAACCTGTGCCACTTCTAATAATGCTCAATTATAGCACCCAATATCCCTCACCTTTGATTAAACTGGTTGGATCTATTAGGAGTGGCCATTCATCAACATCTGGAGAGCCAGATGATTTAAATGTAATTATTCAGAGTTAATTTATTTTGCATCAATGTATAAAAAGACTTCAGTGACTTACTTCTTCCCCCCCCCCATGGTCTTATTCACATGTGGTACTTGTAACAGATTGTATTTAAGAACCCAGATATAATTCTGATGTGAAATCAGAAATTCATTGCTACAATTCTCCCTAGTAGGGAAAGGCAGCTATTTTTCTTTGCCATTTAAGATAATCATAGACCTTTTGCCAAAAAAGTGATAGTTTTATTCATACTTACAAAAATGTCAAGTGCTGAATTCAAACCAGAAAATATAACACTTCTCCCTCTTTCCAAGAAGCTTGCCTTTTTACAATTGTGTTATAAAAATGCTGGCAGAAGGTCCAGGAAGATTGTGTGATACTACTTTCTAAACTCTGGACATCCTGAACCAAAATAGTTATATTGTGTGCATTTGTGAACAGTATGTGTATTATGTATGGCTAATAGAACTCAGTTCTGTCAGGCAGTGACCAAGTCTTTACCTCTAACAAATTGGCCATTGAGAAGTGGCAGTCACTAGTGTTCCTAGTTAGAATCTTCAAGAGACTTGGACTTATATGCTGCAACTAAATACACCATTGCCTCCCAATGATGGAGACTGCATATAAGTTTCTTAACTTCTAAAACAGTGGGAAGTTCAATTATTGGGTTCACTATCTTTTTTCCTTTGGAAAAAAAGAGGCTACTATTTGCTGTTCTGCCCCCTAGAAAGGGATGAAACAAATTATTTTCTTCCAGACATCACTCCCATCTAAGGTAAAGGTAAAAGTTTTCTCTGTCCAGTCATTTCTGATTCTAGGAGGCTGCGTTCATCTCCATTTCTTAACTGAGGGAACCAGTGTGTCAAAAGCCCTTCCAGTGGACATGTGGCCAGTATGCCTATATGCTGAGACAGAATGTGGCCACCTTTCCACTGAAATGGTACCTATTTGTCTACTTGCATTTGCATGTTTTTGAATTGCTAAGTGGGCAGGAGCTGGGTCAAGTAACAGGAACTAACCCCATTGTGTGGAGTCTCCAACCCAGGCTGCCAACTTTCCAGCTGACAAGCTCAGTCTCTTTCCAGCTGACAAGCTCAGCTGAGCCATCACCCCTCCCCCTTCCCATCTATTCTTCTGCATCTTATATATATATATATTCTTATTCTCTTGAACTAGTTACCAGAGGGTTATACAGTTCTTTGTTACTGGTCAGGATGTGCCTAGTTGGGCAATATTTTAGACAAGCCTTGACTGAATAAGCAACCAGATACAGAGGAGCCAGTCAGTAAGGACAAGTTAGCCTACCGAACTCAGTTTAATTTATCCTGATTAAACCAATAATAAAGTTTGGCACAAAATGAGAGCATTTAAAGCACTCATCAGATCAAAGTATCACATCACCCAGATGAAAAAAATAGTAGAAACTTCTGCTTAGCTGTGCTCCCTTCTGGGAGTAACTGCTATTGCCACTGAATTCACCAGACCACTATGCTGCCTAAAGGGGGAGTCTGATGGGCACCCTAAAGGGAGGATTCTTTATGCCAAAAACTGGTTTCCCATGGAGAATGTGAGAATAGCTTGGTTTCAAAATAGAGCGATTTCACAGTTTAACTAGTGCTTCTAGAACAAGCCACAGAAGCCCACGCAATACGCTATGGCTTACAAACCACAATGGCTAGATTTCCGTATTTTGCGAAGCCAAAATCCAACGAATGAGTTAGAAGCAAGTATGAGCCCTGCCAGCGGGGATGGGGCCTTCTTGATCCACTCCCGATTTCAACATTTCCCAAACCTCGAGAGAATAGAGGCTGCAATGCCCGGGCTCTCCTTTGTGCACGGTGCAGGGACGAGCCCGGGCGCCGAGCGTCCTTCCCGAGAGCAAGCGCATCTGCTTCTGGCCGCCACCTCCACCGCCCATCGGCTTAGGCAAAGCCGCAGCCCCTGCCGCACAAGCGGCTGTCACCTTCACCGGCTCACCTGGGCTCCTCCTCTGCCTGCATGACCCTGTGACCGGGGTCGGATCCGTTACGGAGAACGGGCGAAAGGATGAGGCTTGGAAGGATGAGGCTCCCACAGGTTCCCCCAACCCGCGCCAGGTCTTGGGACTGGTGGGGAAGGGGAGGACTGGAGGGGGGAGGACGGAGCGAGGGGCGCCGAAGGAACTCTTCCCCTTGCCTACCCCCCCGGTTTACGGCTGGGGGGCGGTTCGTCGGTTGGGGTTGCAAAGGAGACCCGAGCTGGGAGGTTGCAGGCCCCGCGTTTTCTGCCTGGAAAGGGCAGAGTGGGAATGAAATGGAGGATGGGAAGCCTCGGGAGGGGGGGAGGCAACCCTCGCCTCTGCTCCCCTCAAGGCCCGACCCTCGTAGCTCTCACCTTCTGGCGGATCTGGCCGGAGGTGGAGACCTTGCGGATGAGCTTCTGTGGTGAGCCGGATTCTTGCTCCGGCTCACTGTCCGACGACTCTTCTGCCGCCGCCGTAGGGGCAGCGGCGGTGGCCCCGGCCTGGGGCTGCGAGGCTCCCGCCGCCGCCACCGCCGCCGCCGCTGCTGCCGCCATGCTGCACGGTGGGGAGCAGGGCGGGCAGCGCCACCTAGCGCCTCACACGGCGCCGTGCAAGCGCCTGCCCTGCGTGGGCTCAGCAGCAAGGGAGAGAAGCCGGCAGGCTGGTTGGCGGGCCGTGTCCACGACTGCCCTCTGGCGGACTGGCTTCGCATTGACCCAAAGCAGCCGCCCACTCAGTGAGTGGGAGCTCGAGATTTCTGTTTCGCACGCGAATAAACACTTGGGATTTTCAGTTCGATGACTAAAGCACTTAGAGTCTGGTTGAGGCAGAGTAATTAATCTACATCTTTAACTCAGTGTTTATTTCTCTGCCATGATTCTCTACTTCGGTAACTTGAAATGATTCAGATTATTCAATGAGGGCACAAGTCTGGCATTTACTTGAAAGCAAGTAGATCAAATTGCTTGCTTGCCTACACAATTACTGCCCTTGTGAAGTGGATTCATTCAGGGCACCTCCACACTTGTTCTTTAGTTCTATTATAGTTCAATTTTATCGTAGTTTCTAATATACTGATGGAGTAAATCCACTGAGTTTTCAATGTTGTGGAATCAAAAAGCTCTAGATTTCATACTGGGAAAGAACTGTCACAGAATGATTTCCAATGGGGCCAGTATATGCCATCTGTCCATGCTTTTAAGCTGTAACTTTTGAGTGAGTTTCAAGTCAATGTTGACCCTTAAACTCAAAAGCATGCAAGCTACTCAGAGCTCTCGCTCTTCCCCCTCTCAAATCAGCTTTATTTCTTAAAAGCACACATTTCATATGTGAATCTTATGCACCAGCAATAGCACAGATAAGTAACTATAACAGCAATCAGTACATTACTATGGTTTTGAGGTCTAAGTCAAAGACATCCCCCAACAAATGCAAATATTACTATGCAGGTTCATCCAACAGCCCAAATTTTGTAGGTCTTTAAGGCCTTACAGAAGCTCAGCCAAGTCCCATGACAGAGTATTCTGAGTATACTACGGTAAGTCCCACTATATGACAGTGCCTCATAGAATGGACCTGAAGGATGCCTGCTCTGTTGGATCTGTTGGTATGGGCAGAAACAGTTGGAGAAAGATGGTTCCAGAAATAAACTGGATTCATGCCATGAAGGGCTTTTCAGATGGTTACCAGTAGTTTGTATTGCTGGAAGACTATTGGAAATGCAGTCTGAGAAGCAATGAATGACACATGGGTAGACCAGGGTGTCCTCAAAACTGTCCATTCTGCTGTATTGTAGCAGAACAATTGAGGCATCTCAATACTGTTTAAAGGCAGCCTCTGTAGAATATATTGTAATAATCTAAATGGGAGGAAACTAATGTATGAATGACTATGTATAGGGCCTCCCTATTTTTAAAAAGAGAGTATCCAACATAGATTTATGTAAAAGCCCTTTTGGTCAAAGCAGCAACCTGCTCTTTGAGCAGAAGCTATGAGTACAAGAGGATGTCCAAGTTGCACACCAACTCTGCCTTAGGGAGTACAAGCCCACTCAGACTTATGAATGTAAAATCTCCAAATTCCAGATGGCTCAAAACCCACAGCTACGTCTTCTGATCAGCAGCCACTTAAAATAACAAGCCTGCCAAATTCTCTCACCTTCTTCTTATACCATATCAGCTCAGACATTTTGATATAAACACTTGAACAACCTATAATACATTTTTTTAAAAAAATCCATGCTTTGGTTCTGTAATATAGAGAATGTGCGACAGTGGTTAAGAAATGTTGCTTAACCTGACAGAAAATGTACTGTTGCATTATGTGTGTATCCAACAGAGAGGTCTGATCCATCCTGACTTCCTTGCCACATATACTTGCAAGATATTCATGTTTGTCGAAGAACATTTGCTAGTTGCCTATTCACATTACAATTTTATATGAACATATAAAATGATATATAAAGTTGCATTAGAATTTTTCCTTATATTTTCTTTTTCAAGTAAAAGGCATGATTAGGATAAACAAAAACTGTAATTCAGCAATATAGATACGCTGATTCCTATTCACGTTCCTTCAAGATAGTTCCTGCTGGAATGCTCTAGTTCAGGGGTGTCAAACTCAATTTCACTGAGGGCCGCATCAGCATTGTGGTTGCCCTTGGGGGGGGCTGGGTGGGTGTGGCCAGAGTGGGTGCAGCCTACTGGGTGGCATGGATGGAATGGGTGTGGCCTACTGGGTGGGCATGGCCAGTTCTACATCATTCGCGTCAAGGGTGCCTATGGAAGCCTGGGCAGGAGTGGGACAGATCTGAGGGTCTCTGGCAGAAGGGGGTGGGACTGGGGCAAGTGCCAAGGCATGGTCCACTGGGGCAAGTGCCAAGATGGCCACCACAAAATTGTACATTGGCTCCCGGCTAGCCTGGGCCAGGGCCAAGGCAGTGGGGGCCATTCCCTCACTGTTTCCAGGATGGCTTGGTGGGCCACATGAAACCACTTCGCGGGCCACATCCGGCCCCCGGGCCTTGTGTTTGACATGTCTGCTGTAGTTCAACTGTTATGTATAATCCCTCATTCAGCAGGAAGAGGGATGATAGTAGTTGACATCCAATATAACTGGAATTCACAAAATTGAAGAAAACTGCTTATAAATTTCCTGGCTATGTAAAACAGTTTATAATTTTATAATAGAATGGAATCTATTTACCCTAATGCAGCTAAATATAATGGTTTTACTTTATTTCCAGGGCTCAGTGAACTGCTTTCAAAGATGATAGGGAAACTAAATGATGTTGTGTGAAACCCTTATGTATTATTTTTGAGAAATTCTGGGGAAATGGTGAAGTACCAGGTGGTACCAATTTGCAAATGCAAGTAGTTTGTCTTCAATATCTGGAAAGATTTTAGAACAGGTCCTAAAGCAAACCTTGAAAATAAACTGGTGCTTATGAGAAATTTGTAAGAACAAATCTTCCTTAATTAATTTAATCTTTTATTTATTGGATAAATTCTTTAATAATTGAAAGATATAGGCAGGGAGATATTTTAATTGGTAGTGGTACTGGTGAAGATGATAGTAGATTGCTAATTGTATACAATCCAACATATGTAATTTCATTGCAAAAAAAGCAAATATAATTAGTGGCTGATTTACAAAAATATAATTTCCAAATCAAGAAAATTAATTGTGCCACTTTTTCAGACCCACCTCAGGTATAATGTTGTGTTCAGAGATACTGGAGCATGCTCAGAGAAGATGAACAAAGATGATCAGGTAACTAGAGATTGGGTCCTATGAACATAAATGGGAAAAGCTGGATATATTTATCCTTGAGAAAAAAATGATCGAGAGGGGAAAATAATTGCTTTTTCAAAGTGAATATTAGAAAAATAGAGCAGTTTGACAGTGGAACACCTGTTTGGAGAAGAGGCAGATTCCCCTTAATTGGATGGACTCACTGCTAAATAACTATTCTGGAGTTCTACATTTGTAGTGAGGCAACAAGTTTAAGTAAAAAGACAAGAGCCACACATCAACTCAATTTAACTATTCTGTTTCTGAACAAATACAAAAGTTATTGCCTCTGCTAATCTCGTCCCTTTTTTCTCTTTCATTCAGTATTTGGACACTCCATTTTGATGTCTTCTGCAGAGGCTTCATCTTTCAGTTGCTGCCGAGCAAACTCCTCAAACATCAGATCATCTTGGCCACTAAGGAAAAGATAAGGACTCTTTGAATATCGGTTTCCTAATATTTGATATTAGGAAGATCACTCTTTTCTTTTGCCATGTTTAAAAGTATAATTTATCTACTCCAGGAAGTGGGGAATGGATTGCAGAACTGTGGGCATATCCATATTACCATTAGAAGAATGGACTGATAAGTTGTGCAAAAGGGGGAGGGAGGGAGGGAGAGGGAGGGAGGGAGAGGGAGAGGGAGAGGGAGAGGGAGAGGGAGAGAGAGAGAGAGAGAGAGAGAGAGAGAGAGAGAGAGAGAGAGAGAGAGAGAGAGAGAGAGAGATATTGATTGATTCTATTTTTGCTTGGACTGACATGGATTCCCAGAAAGACCAAAACCTTGTTTGTCTGTTCAAAGACTTAGGTACATAACAACTAAAGCTTTTCAAAATAAATTTACCCAAAGTTATAGGCAATGGTTATCAAGCTATATGTTCAATTTTATGCTTATGGTTTATGCACTAGGTTCTTTGAGGTGCACTTCGAAACTCTTGAGTACATACATGTTTTGACATCTTATTCAATGAAGCAATAGAACTACAGATTGTCCTCGGCTTATGGCCACAATTGGGACCACAATTTCTGTTGCTAAGCAAAGCACTTGTTAAGTGATCTGCAACCAGTTTTATGACCTTTTTTGTTACATTTATTAAGCAAAGTGCAGCAATAGTTGCAATTGTTAAGTGAATCACCTGGTTTCTCCCATTGACTTTGCTTGTCAGAATTGGCTGAGAAGGTTGCAAATGGTTATCATATGACCCGAGATGTTGCAACTGTGACAAATACATGCTGGTTGCTGAAGGCCACAATTTATGTTATGCTATGTCATGTTATGTTATGTTATTTGGGAAGTTCCACTAAACTCAGAGAAATTTCACTCTGCTATATCTGAAAAATTTAAGTTCCCACATTTCATCACAGATAATTCAGAAAGCTCTGTCCTTCATGATATTGAATCAATCTTATTAGCTTCATTCCCAACTTCATGTATACTTAAGAGCAGAATAGGAAGAGAAAACTAGTGAAATAATTCTTACCTTTCCTTTTCTGTAATCATAATTATATATTGAAAAAAGAGAAAGAGAGAGGTTTATCTAAATATGCTTCCACAAATATCTGAAGTTAAGAACAAAAAAGTAAAGAATCCAAGTGTCAATTTGGGTGAAAAGCAGGTTACAATACAACAAAAGACAGGCACTAACAATTTATTCTGAGTCCCAGAGACACCTGGTGGTTTCATATTGTGTGACTGATATATCACTATGATGGTCTCACAGTAACAGGCAGAAGTCAACATTACTGGAACATGGAGTTCTTTTTAATTAGTCATCACTGTTGATTTAAACAGGCTGATCACAGCAGGACTCTCTTTGGAGTTCTTAAAGCCAGCAAACCAACTGCCAGGTAAAGATAGGCAGGAGGTAAAAAGCATAATACATCGTTTTGTGTGTTTATGACTCAGTAAATTGTCTTTAAAACATCCAGAAACTAACATTTTGCATGGTCTTAAGTACATTCAACCATCTGTCACAGTCAAAATGTGTCTGTCTTGGAGATGGGGACCATTAACAAGTCTCAAATCACCAGGCGCTTGCTGTCACTCTTTGGCTTAGTTTAGAGATGTCCTAATAATAAGGTTAAAGCAAAAGGAAGTGTGGTTGAAAATGCAAATAGTGTTTGCCTTTTTAGTAATTTCTGTGGAAGATTCTGTGAAAGAGCATGCTTTGCTTAAAAAAAAATCCTGCAGCCAGTTAATTTTATAATAATGTTATTTTTAACTTCTATAATTTTAATTAGAGTATAACGTAAACATTTGCTTGTCCGTTTCTGTTTAATCTAAATATGATCTTTCCTCCGGTTGCCAAAGAAATTGTTCACTTTCAGGCCTATCTAATTATTTTTTCTTTTTTTTTTCTTGTCAAAAAGAAAATTTCCACAGAACAAAAAGGCTATCACATCACCGAAGTATTGCTAGCAGTAAGAGGAAAATAAAACAAGGGCAAGAAAGAACCATTTGTATGCTACCGACCTGCTGTATTGGGCTCTTCTTGCATGGGGTGCATCAGACGGAAGGGCAACTCCATGCTCACATCACTTTGGGGTCAGGAAAAAAGAGGGGTGATTCAGGATTCCACAGTTCAAAAGCAAAGTCTGATCATTTCTTAGACAGCACTCCTAAATCTTTTCTCCTAATTTTTCATCAGTGTTTGAAAATGTAAACTGGATTACAGTACTATAGATTGGAAGTAATCAGAACGTAAATAAATGAGCAGTCATAGCTGCCTAAGATTTTAAATTAGCTTTGTTATAATTGTAGCCTAGGATATGTGAAATAGGCCCCTTTTAAATCTATTTTTTAATTTTTAAATCACAGATAACATCCTGAAGGTGAAAAATGAAAAACAACAAAATTATTATGTAAAACTCCAGGTGTGTGACCCATAAAAATTAGCAATAAGCCTGAATGGCTTGCTTTTAAATATCCTGATATGGAAATATCAGTTTTTAAATATCCTGATATGGAATTCCAAATAGCAAAATCCAATATCAAAATCAGTGTTGTGGTGAGTTATAGGCAAAATTTGCTCATCTGTCAGGAAGTGTGCCTCACATTTTGTAGAACATTTGCCTTTTAAATGGTATGCCTTGTCAGTTACCTAGTTAACTAGTTAGCTTACATATTAGTGTTTAAAAAAATAAAAAATAGAAATATCAAACTTAGAAAATGAGTACGCACTATGCATCAGGGAGGGGGAAGTAAACTCTGACATATTTCAAATAAACCAAAAAAAAAACCCCATCAGAGAACAGGTTTTAGAGGCTTAGCAGTGGGAGGGAGAGGAAGTTTCATTCTCCGAAAAATCTGAAAATTGAAAAGGATATTTCAGGAGAGAAGAATATTTACAAAGAGAAAATCTCAAAGATTTACCTAGAAGTAAAATCTCCCAGCAGGCTAAAATATAAACAACATTAACTGTACAATGAAATTTATAATATTCCATAGCATATATTCCTAAGTTCAGAGAGCATCAACCCTGAGCTACACATTTTCTCTTCTATCGGTATATATTCCTAAGCTGATCAGGCATTAAAAGCTGTATATGCAACCCCCAATGGTGAATTACTTTTTGGAACAATCCAATATTTCCACCATTCAGGTGTTCTTCAGTTATATTTAGATGCATATTCTATCCTCTGTTTTACAATGCAAGACACATACAAAGTAAATTTTCCACTTAATCTCCAAATTTCGTTTTTATGAGTAGGCTATAAAGAAATACTGAATGACCCCAATCATCTAGCTGCTAAATGCTGATGATTCTGTGTCTCTTTGGTCTTACTTGATCCATTATACCATGTATTGTCCATGTATTCCATACCTGATCCATTATACCATGTATTGGCCACCATGTTTGAAATACTAAACTCACAATTCAATCACACCTGGGTACCACCCTACAAACTGCAGATTTGTGTAGTACCTCTTTCTAATAAATAATCATGCAAATATATAAAGCTATTTGATCTGGCTTCATAATATATATTGCTTTAAATAAGAATATCCAGGCAAATTTAGAGCAATGAGTGACATATAGTGGTACCTTGGTATTTGATTGCTTCAAAACTCATCAAATTTGGTACTCAACACATTTTGAGGCGAAAATGTTGTTACAGTACTCGTTGTTTGTTTGATCTTGACATGCTATGATAGGAAAAGAGAGACAGCTGTGGAGAATGGACAGGAAGATGGCCATGCTGGAAAGGTCACTGCAAAAGGAAGAGGGGGACGACCACAGAGGACGACCACAAGAAGTCGAACATGTTGGGAAGGTCTCTGACATAAGAAGAGAGACAGATATGAAGTGGTTCTTGGCTAAAAACAAAGGGTCATGTGATAAGTCACGTGGTTTGTTTGGCACTCATTATTTTAAGTACATGTTGTGCGTCTCAAAACCAATTAACAACAAGTACCAAAGTACCACTGTAATTTATTGAACTTGAAAAGGTTGTTTAAAATTGCTCATGCAATCTACTACACATTAACTCCCCCCTTTATCTTCATTTCATAAAAGACAATAACATCAAAAACATTTGTAATTATAGCGTACAAATACTGATCGTTCTTACCCTGAGACAGTAAGCTTCACCTTGATCTTGTAAGCAACCAGGATCCCTAGAACTGTCCGGTCTATTCCATCTTTCATACTGTTGGGATTTTTTTTAAAAAAAAAAATTGTGTCATTGCACATTTGCTAAAAAATACTATACTTCCTTAGTATAGCTGTCTCAATTAGGATAACATATTCTCACATTCCATGTTAATATTTCTACATTTTTAAGAACTCATTCTGGAAAGATCCAGGCTTAGTTCATTTAAGTATATTAGATTCACCTATAGTTGCATTTACTGCTTAACACAACATTCACCACTGTGCTACCTTTGGATTTGAAATAAGAATTTATAATTCATATGTCTATAAAACTACTCACATTGTAAATATTAACAGAAAATTCTGACAGTTAAAATCATAAAATATTTGAAGGGTGCAATAAGGGGGTAAAGGGAAAATAGCTGAATACAAAATTAAACAAAATTGTTTTCTCTACTCCCTCTTCAGTTCCAGTTAGTGTTTCATTTTGGACTTACATAGTAGTAGAAGCCAGGTTAGTGTCTTCATCCTTTAGTTTCCCATCTAATGCTATGCCTTTCTTCACTCGATTGTTTGCCAGCAAAGGAAGAACAGTCATTGTCTTTGTAAGCTTGCTATTTGGTTGGACCTTTTCCCTGAAGAAGAAATAATACAAGTTTAGATCTATTCCGTTCTTTCCCAGCCAATCTTGGCCAAGTCAGACATAGCTTCAGAGATACTGTTGAGGGAGGACAAAGCAGACCTTTTAATTCTGAGGGACAAAATCTTAGTAGATCCAGAAAGAAATAAAAAAGCCATCCAATGCCGTATTCACACATTCTGTAGTTCATTCTGCTCTGGTTTGGTATAATGCAGTGCTTTTTTTGTAAAAAAAAAAAAAAAAAAGGTGCCGGAACTCACACACGTCATACAACCCGCCTTGCCTACCCTACAAGGTTTCATCCCCAAAAGGTGCCGGAACTCCGTTCTGGGCGTTCTATGACAAAAAAAGCCCTGGTATAATGAATGGATTCAGCCACTGCTTTGTACCTAATGTATAACTTAGCATTATATATGCAAGTGTATATGTATGAATTAGGGCATTTTGGCTTATTCAGTATAATGGTTAAAACAAACCATAGGAAGAGATAATGTAGTTAGAGCTATCATATCTAGGCTGCAAAAATTCAGATAACCATGAAATGACAGCAAAGAGTTAGAGCTTTCTGTATTCTTTGCTGCCATCCCTTGATCATCTAGGGAAGTGGTTCTCAACCTGTGGGTCGGGACCCCATTTGGGGTCGAATGATCATTTCACGGGGATCGCCAAACAACGCAGTCCGCCATTTTTTCCCCCTTTTCCTTAGCTGTGCTACTCCCTTTTATTCTATTGGCTTTTGAAAGCCAATAGAATAGACTCTTGAATAGAGTCTAATTCTATTGGCTTTCAAAAGCCAATAGGAATTGTCCAGGCTATCTCTGCCCTGCTGAGCCCGCCAAAAGTCCCATTCTGCAAACGGTGCTGCACCAGTTGAGTAGCCCTCGACTTACGACCGGTTGGGGGTCGCGGCATTAAAAAGATTGAGAACCACTGATCTAGGGATTTACAGCCGAGTAAATCCGAGTAAATCTAAATATGTGAAGTCAGTTAATATAAAGTTTTTAATCTCTACATTCCAGAGTGAAACAGTTAACAGAGTGCAACAGAAAACAATAATAATAACATCAAAGCAAAGGAGCCTAAAGCACAGTGCACTTACTCTGACTCTTCAAGAGCCACTGTCTTGGTGTAGAAGTCACTGGAGTATAATACCACATTGGCAACTTGTTCCACTGAAGAAGAAATGAAATAGCAAATTATCAAATAACAGAAAGAAGAATGGGATCTGGGATATTTTTAAGCATTGCCTGAATAAGAATTCAGCATCAATGATATTATGCAGCTATTGCTTCTTTTTTGTGATTCAAACACACCTGATAAGACAGAAAAATGTGGGTTAGACAGCATCACCACCAGATAGATTCATAGCTGGCTGACCGGACATACTCAGTGTGTAGTCCTCAATGGAACTGCATCTACATGGAGGGAAGTGAGTAGTGGAGTGCCCCAGAGCTCTGTCCTCGGCCCAGTGCTCTTTAACATCTTCATCAATGATTTGGATGAGGGGATAGATGGGAAACTCATCAAATTTGCAGACGACACCAAGCTGGCAGGAATAGCCAACACTCCAAAAGACAGGCTTAAGATACAAAAGGATCTCGACAGACTCGAACACTGGGCGCTATCTAACAAAATGAAATTCAGTGGTGAAAAAAGTAAGGTTCTCCATTTAGGCAAGAAAAACCAAATGCATAGGTATAGTATAGGACAGGGGTAGGCAACCCAAAACACTCAAAGAGCCACTTGAACCTGTTTCCCACCAAAAACAAAACACTGGGAGCCGCAAAACCCTTTTGATATCTAAAATGAAGATAACACTGCATATATCCTTTTTTATCTTTATTATAGGGGTGTGTGTGTGTGTGTGTGTGTGTGTGAGAGAGAGAGAGAGAGAGAGAGAGAGAGAGAGAGAGAGAGAGAGAGTTTGTGTATGTGTGTGTGTGTACACACACACACACACACATTAAAAATAAAAGTAAAAATATGACTCTTGGGAATATCCATACTATTAAAACAATGATCACCGAGAGAATGCTTTAAGAGAATAAAATTACATACACACACAGGTAAAAAAAGGATATATGCAGTGTTATCTTCATTTTAGATGTCAAAAGGGTCTCTCTCTCTCTGTCTCTCTCCCTCCCTCCCTCTCTGCCCTTGGTCTGCCACTCCTCTTCCCCCACTCTCTTTCTTTCTCTCTTTTTCCTCTCTCTCTCCCCCCCCTCTCTCTCTCTTTCTCTCTCTCTCTTTCTCCCCCCCCCCATCTGCTGCTCACCTGGCAAGCTTCAAGTTGTTCTCCAACAATCTCAGGGGTAGGCAACCTCGTCTCTTTTATGACTCATGGACTTCAACTCCCAGAATTCCTGAGTCAGCCTAGCTGGGCTAGCTAGCTCTCTCCTGCCCTTCCTGCTTCCTGCAGAGACGCAGCAAAGGGAGGAGCTCCGCCCAGTAAGCTTTTCAGCTCCTCGGAGAACAATGTGAGTGCACTCTTTTACACATATATACACATACACACACACACACACACACACAAAACACACACATACAAAACACACACACCCAGACACACACACACACAGAGAGAGAGAGAGAGAAGCAGGGAAGTGCAATTGCCTCTCTCTGTCTCTCTCTGCAAAGGCAGAGGAGGCTGGGAGCCACAGGGGAAGGCTCAAAGAGCCGCATGCGGCTCCGGAGCCGCAGGTTGCCGACCTGTGGTATAGGAGGTACCTTACTCAGTAGTAACTTTGAGAGGGATCTCAGAGTCCTAGTGGACAATCATCTAAATATGAGCCAGCAGTGTGCTGCAGCTGCCAAAAAAGCAACACAGTGCTAGGCTGCATTAATAGAGGGATAGAATCAAGATCCCGTGAAGTGTTAATACCACTTTACAATGCCTTGGTAAGGCCACACTTGGAATATTGCATCCAGTTTTGGTCACCATGATGTAAAAAAGATGTTGAGACTCTAGAAAGAGTGCAGAGAAGAGCAACAAAGATGATCAGGGGACTGGAGGCTAAACAATAAAAGGAACAGTTGCTGAAATTGGGTATGTCTAGTTTAATGAACAGAAGGATGGGGGGGCATGATAGCAGTGTTTCAATATCTCAGGGGTTGCTACAAAGAAGAGGGAGTCAAGCTATTCTCCAAAGCACCTGAAGGCAAGACAAGAAACAATGGATGGAAACTAACCAAAGAGAGAAGCAGCCTAGAACTAAGGAGAAACTTCCTGACAGTTAGAACAATTAATCAGTGGAACAACCTGCCTCCAGAAGCTGAGAATGCTCCAACACTGGAAGTCTTTAAGAAGAGATTGGACAGCCATTTGTCTGAAATGGTATAGGGTTTCCTGCCTGAGCAGGAGGTTGGACTAGATGATCTCTAAGATCCTTCCAACTATTATTATTATTATTATTATTACTACTACTATTACTACTACTACTTACTACTACTACTACTACTACTACAAACATTTTGCTTTGCAGAATGGACATAACATCTAGCATTTAGATGACACTGACCGATGTTTAAAAAAAAAAAAAACAGGATAGGAAATCACCAGGAAAACCCAGCTCATCTTCACCAGGATGGAGGCAGACAGAAATTACTTTCATATTGTTACTAAATACTCTACAGAGTTGGGCTCAACTCAGGGGAATGTTTTATCTTTTTAAATGCAATGTAAATAGCAATTATTATAAATGTGAGTCTGTCAAGTAGACCAGAATAGGAAATCAAAGTTATAAATGCTAATACTTTTATAATACAGTAACAGAATCCTCAAGAGAATGAGGGAGGGTCAAGTCTGAGATGCTTTCTCAAATCATACTTCTGCTTCAGACTTTGGTTGCAACTCTTCCTCCTGTTTCTCAGGATATCTCTTACCGCCCATTACAGAAATTATCTACATGGATAACATGTGGTTATTATAACTCTTTCAATCACGGTGCTTTATTAAGCCAATAATAAATATGGGTACAGAATATTAATTGCAATCTAACTGACTAGGAGAAAAACAAGAGGGCCTACATCTGACTTGTTTGTCAAAATGAGTATTATACCTGACACGCTGATCTTCTTAACTGTTTTTTCTGTTTCATTGATCACTGTCACTGTAACAGGGATTGGTTCACCATGATAAAACACCTGGAAGAATTGGATTAGTTTAGCAAAAAGTTCATTGCACAGTGTTGTCTACATCCAGTTTTGTGAAGTAGCATAGTCAGAAACAAAATGATTGTGTCTTGTCTGTATATCTTGAATTTCCTAATTTATCATATTAGTAAATCAAGAACACCTCACCTCTTTGCTGAGACAAGCTTGCAAGTGCAATGGCTTCTTGGACAGGAAAAACTGCCAAGTGGTCTCTGTGTGAGGCTGGGGCCCTGCTACTTCTGGAGCATATTGGACTTTGCGTATAAGCAGGCGTACAGAATGTCTAAGGATAGAAATTGGGTTTAATTCAAAACATAAGTAATTAAACTCTAGATCATTGTTAGTAATTATGGAAGCCACAAAACCCAAAAAGATAAAGAAGACGGCATCTGAGTACCAGCACTGATTGACAGCTATTGTTGTATAATCCTTAGTTACAGGACAGCATACTCTAAGTTGTGTATGAAGTAACAGCAATGTTGCTGATCTTTCTGTTCAGCAGGAAATGGGGCATATTGACTTCCTTTTTGCTCATACATTTTGAAGGCTGTATCTCATACAATAAAGAAGTTAAGATGGAAAATGTATAGAAAAAAGTAAATAATAAGGGGGCCAAAACAAGGCATTTTATCCAGCGCTTCCTTTTTAGAAATGACATGTTTCATCTTTTTTTATATTCGTCTCCTGATTCTGATAGTTGAATATAAAATAAGATTTCTCAGTTTTTCCAGTTTCAATCAAATTCTTTTTTAAAGAAACAAGATATTACTTCTTGAGAATCTTTTCTTCTGGATCTTCTGTAGAGAAAGCTTTGACTTCAAAGTCCACTCCGCAGCACTATTAAGGAAAAGGAGGGAGTGACAAACAGTTGAAATTCTTGTTGCTGAATGTATTAAACATCTGTCTATGAAAGAACTCACCTTTTGAAATTCAAAATCTGCCCATCTGAAATTTCAACATAAAACTCATTCTTAATGTTTTTTTTATATGTATGTACGTTATTTTTCTAATTCTATTTTTTGTATATCTTTAAAAAAACAAAAAGAAACTTTTGATGGCAGTCCACTACTTTCCATACAAACTTTGTGAAACGATTGGGAAAAACTATTTGAGGACTATTTTCTTATTTTATTCCACCATCATTGTTCAGGAGAACAAGGAAAGGCATAGTTCTCTCATACATACAAACATATTTGCTCACTCACAACAATATTATTTATTTCTATGGTTTTGAATTATGTTAATAAATACTGGTGTTCTTTTGAGCCCAAACCAAACATATGCCTTCCCTTTTGAAAAGATTTGAAAACTTTTCAATCAGAAATAAAATAATTGAAGCGTTGTATGGTGGCTTAAATATTAGATATTTTCTTTTAGGTCTGAAAATACAGCAGAATTTTTAAGGAAGGCTGATCCTTCAGATATTTTTTTGTAGAGGTTTGTATTGTGCAATAATTCTTGGAGATTTACAGAGATAAGAGTTAGACATTGTCACTCCCATTTTTCCCTAGTAATTATCTGGATCTTTTTCTTAACATCAAAAACCCTTTAAGGATGAAAATATGAAACTAATGCAATGTTTTTTGAATAGCAGCATAAAGAACTGTGTATTTAAAATCACCTCTTGCTCTTTGTATTTTATTCCATATGACTACATCTTACTTAGTTTGTTCCTTAATACAAAATAATGTGATGCATGCCCTCTGTTCTCACCTTTTCAACTTCATGGGGAGCCGGCTGCAGACACACCGAGCAAGGCAGATAGTTTGGAAACTATAAGGGAACAAAAAATAAAGCATGTAAAACATTCTGATTGCAATGGCTTTACTGCCACAGCAGTGCTAGCAAACATGGAGCAGGAGGAGGAGGAGGAGGAGGACAACCCCCTTCATATAACTTTTCAAAAATGCCTTATGGAGTTTTTTACTAGTGATTTACTACAGAATCATTTATCTTCAGCCAGACATCACTGTGGTAATAGATCACTAATGAAGACAAGTTTTACTTTGCTTGAATGAGGCCTGAGTGACACTATAAATCAAGAAACAACCTTCAATGTTCTGTTTTTTGAAAAGCTGTTTAAAAATCTAGGTACTCTTAAATTCAGGTGTTATTCTTAAATATTTGGAAACTACTAATTTCAGTCACAGAGCGATTCTACTGTAAGTGGTGTATAATTGAAACATACAATTATACTTTTATTTGCAGTAGCTCAGGATTGTTAGAAATATAATGGATAGCCTTCCCCAATACTTGCTAGGATATAATAGTCCAACTCATTTGGAAGGTATCAGGCCGGGTAAGGCTGCTATGGGAAGAAATTACTTTTTAAATTAGAGGTGAATAGATATGTCTGAACCTAGGTTGCATATACACAGAAATCCTCTAAGCATTCATATAATAATTGCAAATTGGGAAATGAACCAAAAGTGAATAATGATACAGAATACTCACAGTTAACACAAAGGGGTATGCATTTTTCCCCAGTTTATTTATCAGGCTTTCCTGCAAAGTAGTGAGGGGTCCTGGTTTGTCCAGTGATGGATAAATCTGTACTCTGTGAAAGTACAGATCCTTTCTAAAAGTCAGACCCATTATGTCAATATCTTCTTGCCCATATCGAAAGGCACATGTGAGGGTTACATATACTAGAAAAAGCATACAGAAAGTATTATGGATACCGAATGTTAAAATCATCTATAAACAACATTAGTTGTGTAGAAAAGTCTCCACTGATCAGCTAAGTACTTTCAGTAAGAAAAACTAGACCGTGTTTACCCATAGTAACAAAAGCTGGTTAGAAAAAGCCAGTTTCATTTTCTGGCTGCAATTACTGGTTGCTTTTTCTTAAGCAAAACCTCAGGATGAGGAAAAGGCAAGGGAGAAGAAAGGATATAATTTGTAATTAGCAGCTCAGTGATAGAGCATATACTTTGCCAGATAATATCTCCAGAAAAGCTTTAAAAGACCCTTGTTTGCAGCCACAGAAGGTAGCTGCTATTCTATGCCAAATAAAATATGAATTGACGATTGGCCTTATCAACAAGAAAACAACATAATTGTATATAAGTGTGCCCATTGTGAAAACTACCCATGTTTTCCCCAAAATAAGACCTATCCCTAAAATAAACCCTAGCTATGTATGCCTAATATAAGCCCTGCCCAAAACACAAGTCCTAGTTAACACCCCACCCACTCTGTCCCACCATCTGGTTGTACGAGATGGGGCGAGGTGCATGTGTAAAAATCAAGTTAGGTTGGGGGTGGAGGGTGGAGCTGCCCCATGCACCCCGCACCCACTTACCTCAGGACTCCCATAGCCAGGCCTCCCAAGTCCTGACACCTGCCTCGCCTCGCAATGGCGGCACCAGCAGCAGCAACCGCCCTATCCAGTAAGAGGCTGCATGGCCACTGGCCCACTACTTCTGGTTGCTGGTGGCCACTCATGGCAGGAGGCCCTGTGGCATGTCGCGCTGGTGCCGCCACTCATGGAAGGAGACCATGTGGCACATTACGTAAGTGCTACCGCTTGCAGCAGGATACCCTGTGACACCTCATACTGGTACCACTGCTCTGGTGTGCCATGGTGCAGTGTGCCACATGGCGTCCTGCTATGAGTGGTAGCACTGACGCACCACACCACATGGCTCCTGTCACAAGCAGCTGCGAATGGCCTCAGAAGACATTGGGCAGCGGCACAACAGGTGTCAGGGCGTGGGAGGCCTGGCTGCAGTGGTCCTAAGGTAAATGGGGAAAGACATCTCCCGAAAATAAGACCTAGTGCCTGTTTTGGAGGCAAAAAAAATATAAGACCAGGTCTTATTTTTGGAGAAACACAGGTAGTTAGAAGCTGGAGTGAATTGTAGGCCCTCTACCTCAGTGTGACAGTGAGTGGCAGAATGGGTTTAGTGGCTATATTTGATGGAATTAGGATCTATCTATCTAGCATCTATCACTTGTCATTTAAATCATTTTATTAAATATTGACCTATTTTATACTATGTTTCCTTCAAAATAAGACCTACCCCCAAAATAAGCCCTAGCTTGAGCCTAATATAAGCCCTACCCTCAAAATAAGCCCTAGATTTGGGGTAAGGCATACACCTAAAAATCAAGCTGGAGGGTGGAGCATGGAACTGCCCCACCTGCCTGCACTCCCTTACCGTTGCAACCAGGCCTCACATGAATCGACACCTGCCTCACTGGCCTACTTCTTCTGTGGCACCCACGGCCTGCATTTTGCTATCAAAGGCCTTCTGGAAAGGCCTCTGCAGCCAAGAACCAAGCTACAGATTCAATCCGTAGCTCAGTTGCAAAGGCCTTTCCAGAAGGCCTCTGATGGTGAAATGCAGGCTGGGGGTACTGCACACATAAATTCAGAGCTCCATTCTCAGCTGCAGAAGCATTTCCTTTGACTGCAGAAGAAGTGGGCTCGCTGGGCAGGGCTGTCGATGCCGCTGCTGTGTGGTGAGACTGTGGAAAAGACACCCCCTGAAAATAAGACCTGGTGCCTCTTTTGGAGGCAAAAAAAAAAAGACCAGGTCTTGTTTCAGGGAAACACGGTATATTAAGTTAAATTATGATAAATGAATAAAAATTTGCTGTATCAGCCATAGTTGGCTGGTTCGCTGATAATGCTGACAATAAATGTTATAAACTACAATATTGGAACAAAATGGATAACTCTGGCAGTCTTATTATCATTATCAGTAATATAAGACTTCTAGATCTGTGGGTAAATTCCAGATGACCATTAGATGACAGCATAGAGTTTAGAAACATGTTCTTTGGCAGAGAGGAAATCTAATTTATTACTGTCTAATAAATTATTGATTAAAATAACATTTGAGGCCAGAATGGTTATAGATATTTTTCATAGCATATTACTTATGCACCTTCAGAAATATAAGTCATCATCAGCTTTGGCTGACAGAGTCAATTAACACAAATCCAGAGTCATTCTAATTTTAAATCATATTAATAATACTTTAAGCACTTTAAAAAGTGATTAAGTGTTCTGACCTTTTTTCTCCTTCACAATATCAGGATCCACCAATACAACACCATCTACATTGAAGAAGAGATAATAATAAATCAATCAAGTTACGAAAAAGATCAAAGTAGAAACTTGCAACTTGGACTCACCCACAGGTTCCACATATTCCACATGATCAATGAAATCTCGCTTTCCTAAGTAGATTGTAACCTAAAGGATGGAATGATTGAACAAAACTACAGTTTAATAAATCAGTTTAAGGATGCTATACCATTGCTGTTGGTATAAAAGAAAAAGTAAAAATGGCAGTTTAGATCTTTCTTTATCTGATACGTTTATAGTGGGAGTTTGCTCTACAAACTCAGTATGGCTAATTGTGTAAATCAAAATAGTAACTTAACCAGTTGAAGAAGACTCCCTAATAAGTTGCAAGTTGATTTGAATAAAATTTTGGTTATCCAGATGTGAAACTGGAAGGGAAGGGAACTCTTATATTTAAAACAGCTATACATAAAAACATTTTGATAGTTGAGTTTGTCTAGCTCAGAATGGTTGTATCTTGTAAATCATTTGTTTTACTTTTGCATCAGAAGTATTTTCCTTTAAAGTACAAAGAGCACACAATGGGGTTTGATTATGCATTTGACAAGACAAAAGAAGCTACTTGAGTGGATTGACTGGAACACATTTTACTTTCTGCTTGGGGCCAAGCTGCATCAGAGATTAAATTTATATTTATTATATTAATGTATCAATACATTTCAGAATTGCTGTTGAGAGTCACTGCAACTACACCATATGGAAAAGTTTAATATTTCTCTTCCTGGACAAAACTGAGATGAAGATAGATGTCCTATGCCTGTATTCCTACTAACAAGCTTTAATTGACTCCAATTGTTATGAAAATAGCTCCCTTCTATATCTACTCAGTGTTTTCAAACTTTATAATTTTAAGATGTGTAAATTTCAATTCTAGGAATTTGCCAGCCAGCATGCTACTTCCTACTGCAATTTAAAAGAGTGTTTCTCAGCTTCTGCAATTTTAAGATGTGTGGATTTCAACTTCCACGATTTTCCCATGCTGGGTGGGGGCAGTGGGGTAGTCTGGGAGTTCAAATCTATACAATCTATACAGTTCTGAGGTTGAGAAACACTGCTATAAAATATTATTTGCTGTTATATGATTTTGTGTGGTTCTGTCAGTTTGGACTGCTGCATTTTATTTCATTAGCCGACTGAAGAAGTTCACTGATTAATTTGCAAAAGAAAGATTGTCTCCTCACATCATTTTGAATATATTTCTTCAAGAAAGTTTTTTGCTGTTATAATGTTATATTAATGGTGTGATGGTTAAAGTGCTGGGCTGTATTTAAGATGCTGATTATTCCCTGTTTAAATCTTAATTATTCTTAATTATTATTTTTCTTTCTCTGACCTCCTTATTTTTCCTTGGACTTTAAAAAATTAAATCATGGCACACCATTTTATTTTTTCTTCAGTCACTTGGGGTACAGGAGTTATTTTTTAAAAAAAAAATATGCCAGGAAAAATAGGGAGGTAAGGGAAATGAATGTAGCTTGGAGAACACTGCAGGAAAATTATTTAGTGGGATGACACAGTAGTTATAGTGCACACTGAATCCTTTTCAGGATATTGACAAACAGTCTGGACAGGTTTTTTTTAAAAAACTGGTTTGGACTTAAACTGCCTGAGCAGCTTAATAATGCAATGCAGATACAGTATGTCCTTAGTATCACTACAGTTTGATCTTTAAAGAGGCAAGTAGATATCAAGACTCTATCTAGTTTCAGTCTCACATTCTTAGTTTAATGCTTAATACTTACAGCTTTATCATGTGATATCTTCCTGTAGATAACATGCCTTTTAGTGGGTTTGACATGCTTCACGGAGATGTCAGAAATTGAATGATGCCTTGAAGCATCAGTGCAACTCATCTTTCAACTTATGTCACCTGGTAAGGATGAAATGGTCCTACATTAAAAAAAAATTAGACCAGCACCAGTTAATGAATAGTCAAACTGTAAGATCTACAAACAATGAATTTGAATTTAAACATTTTAAATAATATTGTCTGAGGCATCATACAAAAACATACTAATCCCAAATTTAGGAAGTTGCCCATCTAAAGCAGGGGTCCCCAACCCCTGATCCATGGACCGGCACCAGTCCATGGCATGCCAGAAACCAGGCTGCATAAACAAGCAAAGCTCCTTCTGCACATGTGTGGGATACAGGCAGCATGAGAAACCACACATACCTTCCAGTCCATGGAAAAGCCTCTCCTCATGGAACCGGTCCCTGGAGCCCAAAAGGTTGGGGACTGGTGCTCTAAAGGTCTGGACTTTAACTAATTCTATTTTCTTTCAGAATTGTTCATTTCTGTGGATCCTATCAGTCAAGGAATTCCAGCCGGCAGGGTCCAGAAAAAGAGCCTTCTCTGATGAGACCCCCACCCTTTAGAACATATCACCCCCCGGGGTGACTGGAGGTGGCTGATCAACTAATAGCAATTCTCACCTCTTCTTCCCCACCCCATATATTTTGTTCCCTTCTTCTTCATCTTTAGTAATAACTGGCATTTTATTTCAATTTTAATCTAATTTTACACACATACATACACATATATAAAATTGTGCTTATATTGTAAGCTGCCTAAAGTTGCTTTGCGGTGAGATGGGTGGCAAACAAATTTAATAAATAAAAAAATTGTATTTGAAAAGCAACAGAATGAAGAAGAGCTGTCAGGAAGAGCTTGGTACATGAACAATTCCTTTCTGTTCCTTCCATTTTTACTTTCAGAAATATTGTATTCTTTTTTTTTTTAATTGAAAATTTTTAAAATTTTACAAAATAAGAAAGAACAACCCTCCCCAACCCAGCCCAACCCTCCCACTCCCTCCCTCAACTTTCCCAGAGCTGAATATAGGCTTAATTAAATTTTCTTGAATTCTTAAAAAATATATATATATATAAACCATAGATAAGTCTAAATACATTACTTAAACTACTAATAGAATAATTAACAATAATATATATATATATAAAAGAGATAAATATTAAAGAAAAAAAAGAAAAAGAAGATACTTAAAAAAAGAAGAATAAAGAGAAAGAAAGAAGAAAAGAAATATAAGAAAGTAAAATAATAATAAAACATATAAAGAAAAAGAAAAATAATACAATCTATAAAATATTAAAATTTGTATATAAATTATTGATAAACTAAGTAATATTTTTTTATATCCAATTTATGTTGTATAAAATCTATCCATTTTTCCCATACCACAAAAAACTTATCTTGCGATTGATCCTTTAAGAAAGCCGAAATATTTGCCATTTCTGCCAGATAGGATACTTTAAAAAAAACACTCTTGCAAAGTAGGCAAAGATTCCTTCTTCCAGTATTGCCCTACTAACAACCTTGCGGCTGTAATTAAATTTAACATCAATATAACCTCCTTAGTATCACAATCGGTAACAATACCTAGCAAAAACAATTGTGGGGTAAATTTTACCCTCCTTCTAAAAATTCTTTGAATATTCCACCATATCTTAATCCAAAAGGCTTTTATATTTTTACACGACCACCAAATATGGTAATAAGTAGCATCCAAACAACCACATCTCCAACATTTGGGCTGTAAGTCGGGATACATACGAGACATTTTTTGTGGATCAAGGTGCCATCTATAAAACATTTTATAAAAATTCTCCCTTAAGTTCTGGGCTTGTGTAAATTTAACATTTCTCACCCAGATGATTTCCCAGGTATCTAGTAGAACTGGTTCACCAAAATTTTGTGCCCATTTAATCATACATTCTTTAATTAATTCTGGTTCTGAGTCCAATTCTACTAGCAACCCATAAATTCTCTTAATATGAGTTCGTCTTTGATCTTTTACTTGTTTAACAAAATTTTCATCTTCTCTAAGCAAGCCCACATTACGATCTATCTTCCATCTGTCCGCTATTTGTCTGTACTGAAACCATGAATATATAATATTTTCTTGTGCTAAATCTTCCAAATATTTTAACTGCCAAATTTTACCATCCCATCTAAGCAATTGTGCATAAGAAACACTATCCATCTTAACTCCTCTCCTTATCCCCTCTATCGCATGCCAAGATATAGCCCATAATGGTATTTTAGAATCACTTCTGTAATATTTCCTCCAAACCTGAAATAGAGAAATCCTTATAATATAGGATTTAAAAACCCGGTCAACTTTTTTATTAAAAATTAAATAGGCATGCCATCCAAAAAGTAAATCCCAACCCTCCAAGAGGAGTATTTCTACATTTGTTAAATTAACCCAATCACTAATTAATGTTAAAACCACAGCATCATAATACAATTTCAAATTCGGTACCTTGAGTCCACCTCTCTCACGAATATCTTGTATAATTTTAAGCAGAAATATTGTATTCTTGATATCAATATAAATGAACTATGTCATATACTGTGAAGATTTCATAGTTATTTAATACAGGTAGTCTTCTACTTATGACCACAACTGAGCCCAAAATTTCCATAGCTAAGCAAGGCAGTTATGTGAGTTTTGCCCCATTTTATGATGTTTTATGCCACAGTTGTTAAGCGAATCACTGCAGTGAAACATGAGGTCATTAAGCAAATCAGGCTTCTTCCATTGACTTTGCTTGGATGAGAATCTGGATGGGAAGGTTACAAAATGGTGATCATGTGATCCTGGGATAGTGCAACTGTCATAAATACATAAATACAGTTGCCAAGCACCGAATTTTGATCATGTGACCATTGGGATGCTCATGTGAAAAACAGTCATAAATCAATTTTTTCAGTGCCATAGTAACTAAATGAATGGTTGTAAACTGAGGACTACCTGTATATTGATTTGTAATTCTTTAATCTTTTTTTTTACAAAGCGAAGTTTCTACAAAGCTCATTATCATATTTTCGCTTCCTCCATAAGAAGAAGCCATTGGAACATGTTATAATTGTCATTTCTTTTACTAATACATAAGCAGGGCATAGCTAATAAAGAGTATTCCAGTTCATTTTCTCCTAGAAAGATTCCCAATTTATTTTTTATTTATTTGTATCTCAGCTTTATTTTTTTTTGCAAATAACTCAAAGCATCGAGCATATCCAACACTTCTGCCTTCTATTTTCCCCACAACAACAACCCTGTGAGGTGAGTTGGGATGAGAGAAAGACAGAACAGGAACTCACAGTCTCCCTCCTTCTAGTCCAGTGCCTTAATCTTTAGACCAAACTTGTATATTTGCCACAATTTTCAAACGATTGTTAGGGGAAAAAAATCAAAGAACCATGAAATTTCTCCTCAATGTCTTTTCTGTTTAAAAGCTGGTGTCCATTTGGTTTGCCTGTCAAACTCCAATTTATTCAGATGCAGTCCTATATGAGACAATATATATTTTCAGTTCTAAATTACTTCACTTCAAACCAAATCATAATGATTTAAATTATGTATTTGGGGATTTACTGCAGACTAGGTAGTTGTGTAGCATCCCATATTTCTGCTTATTTCCCTTACCTTACAAAAAGTTCTATGTCAGAAATAGAAAACTCAAAGTGACAATTTTCATCACATTATCTTTCAATAATAGCCAATTATATATGGATAAAATAATAGCACGCTCTTACCATACTTTACTGTTTTAGGTTGTTTTAAAAAAAACAACTTATCTCACCTTTTTTCTATAGTGTAGAAGCTATTAGCAAAATTTCTTTTTCAATTATTAATATTCTTTTTCAATGATTACATACAATTCAGTTCATTGTTACGCTGATAAAAATAGATTCCTGCTGTTCACCTTAGTCTTGAGAATGCAGATCAAGGATGAACCATCAATGCATTTTCAAAATGCTTTCTGCAGTTAGAATGACATGTTAGCTCTCATTTTCCCAAGGTGGAAGCAATATTGTTGAATAAATGACAAGATTTCTTGTGCAATTCTGAAATATGTTCCATTCTATATGCTTAGCATTAAAATCGATGCACTGGATAAATTAGGAACAAGAAAGGTATAGAATAATCATATGCACATTCTCTTAAGAATTATGTTTCGCTTCATTCAATAGGTCGTAGTGATACATAAGGTGCCTAGGGCTGCAGTCTTTAAGAGGCCAAATCTGCAAGAAAAAAAGAAATGTACCTGTAAATGTTCCAAATTCCCCAGCAATTCCAGAAAACAGAAAATTTCAGGAGCTGTAAAATAAGAATATATTCCAAATAACAAATTTGCATCACCCAAGCAGGGAAAAAAGGTTCATCTTCCTGCTGCAAATGAAGTATTACTTCTTTTAGAACCTAGGCTGGCAATTTGTAGGTGCTCTGAAAATCAGATTTGGTGCTTAGGTGGAGCCAAGTTTCCATCACTGAACCTAAGGCCACACTATTTTATGTGGATTATCAGCTTGTGCTAGGTATTATAAGGGTCCTAAATTTCTCAGTGTCAACATTTCCAATTCATAAAGTACAAAGGCAACAGACAGAAGATTTAATGAGGTTATTGAAAGCAGCTTTATTTTAAACCTCTTCCTCATCTTGTCCTTATTAGGGCTGAGACTCATCCTAGTCTATTAAGGAGCTAAGGCATTGTTCATTATGCTTGTGTAACACAATATATCCTTTTGCACACATTCTTCAGACTTGCATATGTATCATTGACAGGAACCACTTCTCTACGTGAAAAATCCTACAATTTTTCTACGAATAGGATTTTAAACATCCAGTTGTCGAATTATAACAAAGTCCTTCACGACAGTCTGGTGTATCATTCCAGAACTAGTCCTGTGCATGTTACTTTTCACAGGACACTGTGAACACATACTAATTTTCAAGCTGAATCTAAAAATGACCCAGGTTTTATGGAATTAGAAAGGACAAGATTGTAATCCCTTTGAAGGAAAGACCTGATTTAGTAAGGCTCTTGGTAGAGTGTACCAGCTACAAACCTACTGGACAGATACTTTCAGTGATCCTATTTTAGTAATCTCACGGTTAGGTTATTGCAATGCATTCTACAAAGAATTATCTTCAATGTGATCTTGAAGCTGCAACTGGTAGTACAGAATGAACCAAGATTGTTAAATGGAGCAATTAAATAGGACTGGGTTATGAAAGAGCGGCACTGCTTGCCTTTGAGCTCCTAAGCCTTATTTAAAGTGACAATATGTAATATGTCCATTCCTATAAACCCTTAAATGACTCAGGACCCAGCCTTTTGGCAAATGTTTTTAAAGGAGTTCAAATATCAATAACTTGGTGGATTCCGCAGAGTATTTGAGTCCTTAATTTCTTCTAAACAACTAATAGCTGTTGGGCACAAAACATCCAGGTCCACATGTAAAGGTTCAACTGCCTATGCACAAGGATATTTTCAACTAAGGATTAATACCTGCTAGCTAGGAGTTAGATAAGAGTCAATAGAATTCAAGGGGGGATGTTGGACTTGGTTTGTTTGTGGCTATGTAGAGATTCTAGGCTGATCCCTCTTTTAACTGCATCCCCAGATTCTGCTACTCCTTCCCGTACGTCTGTTTACAATATAACTATTCTGCTGTATTTGTTATTGCTCCCTTTTGCACATCCCCCCATTTATATTTATTTTCTTTTATGTGCTGCTTCAGTGCCTTACCATTCTCCCTTTGAAAGTTAGCAATCATCTGAATGACTAACTATACCATTCACTCAAAATTCCACCATATTCATGGTTCTTTATATACAGAGAAACATGCTTAAAATTACAGAATACAAAACCACATACATATACCTACATAATAAATAATGAAACAATAAAATAATAAACCATCAGTCCAAACAGCAGTAACACCATCATCCAACTGGGACTCTAGTACCCCAAAGGCTCAGACAAACAGCCTAGTCTAGACAAGGTTAACCAGCAACTCGGAGAAAGAAGGAGGGTGAGGCACAAGGAAGGTCAGTCTATCAGTCTTTAACAGAGACAACTAACACCCAGAATTGCATCTAGAAGCCTATTTTGAGTTAGTGCACCTGGTATATTCAGTTATCATTTGGAGGTAAATATGTGTATGCTTTTACTTTTGTTCTCACCATTTAACTAAGAGAAGACAAACTGAGTTATAGAGTCAAGGTTCCATATTTATAGATACCAAATGTTTCTTTTCCCTACGATTTAAGGTAAATTGAATTTTTTGGGAATGTTAAATTTGAGAATGAAGTTAAATTGTACTAATGAAGAAAAGGTTAAAAATGAAGAAAACATGTTTTCTTCATTAGTTTTGCATCACCTGGTCTGAGGACAAATCTTGGGGAAGTAAGAAGTTTGCACCCTTTTTTACAGCACTTTTATTGCTCTAGAAAATAATGCCGATGTCAACGCTGTAAAAATTGGATGTTCCCGCTCTGACAACTGATGAAAATGCAGCCATTTCCGCTTTGCTTTTAACGTGCTTTTTCTTCTATTTAGAAATTGGGCGGCGGGGGGGGGGATGAATGCTTGAGCAAAGCTAGCCATAATAATAATGCTGCTTTGTGGGAAATCAAGGACAAACTGATAACTGTTTGGAGGGCTGAGGAGCTGGAGAGAAAGCCAGTGTTTCAGGCTAATTGGAGAGAGTGTGATTTGTGACTGCTTATTGGGGGTGGGAATTGCAATTTGTTACTTTGTATCTGGGGGAAGGGATTTTAGTTTTGGCTCAACTATGTAGTGCGGATACTTTGTTTCCTGAATAAAATGTTCTTTAAGGAAGAATTCTTGCCTTGAAGTTATTTTGATGGATTTCATCTATCGGAACCATGACAGCCACATTGTGGATTTTTTATTTCATGGAAAGCACTTGTATTGTTTTGTATCATTCAGGGTATCTGACTAAACATACTTAATGTATTACACAAGACCTACAGCATTCTTCTATAGAACCTAAGCATAATCTTGGATAAGCCTTCATCTCACTGATTCAGCATTAGAATCTGTCACGAGCATATATCCTTGAGGTGTCAGAAGATACCTTTGTCAGATGGACAGGTGAAAACATTTTTATATACAGGGCATTAAATTGTTTCAAACAAATGCAAAAGTTTGACTAGTACTAAAATCATATCAGTTACCTTGTTTATGAAGAGACTCCAGACATAATTTCCTGAATTTCTTTCTGTAGAGAGTTGCTGCAATTCTTATGACTAAAGCAGGGCTTTTCAACCTTTTCACCCATTGTACCACTTTTAGGATATGGCAACATCTGAGTACCACCAGTCGCCTAGCAAGGTGTCAAAAACTTGATGACCCCCCCAAAAAAAAGAAAAGAAAAAAAGTGATGAAGTACAGATAGTCCTCGACTTACAACAGTTCACTTAGTAACTGTTCAAAGTTACAATGGCACTGAAAAAAGTGCCCCCCAAGCCACAGCCAAGCAAGACACCTGCCTGCCCACCCGGTGGTGCTATTCCTCCTGTCCGAGGTTTCCATTGTTGTGAGCATTTTTGTTGAGGATTGGCAGTGGGGGTGGGGGGGTGCTTGGTTTTTATTCCCTTCGTCTGCTGGGTGGTTGCAGCAGGTTTTGGTCACTTCACATAATCCTGGAATATTGTGACCATCATAAATATAATCAGTTGCCAAGCAACTGAATGTAAATCACAAGACCCTGGAGATGCTGCAACATTCCAGCTGATCAGCGCTTCTGGGCTCAGCAGAAGTACCAGGATCAGTGCTGCTTTTTAGTTGATCAGCACTTCTTCAGGGCTCAGCAGAAGCACCAGGATCAGTGCTGAGCTCCAGCTGGAGCCTGGCGCTGATTCTGGCGCTTGCACTGAGCCCTGACAGCCCCAAAGAAGCGTCGATCAGCTGGAAAGCGGCACTGATCCTGGCACTTCCGCTGAGCCCTGACAGCCCTGCAGCCCCAGCCATCTCTTGCTCAGGCTTGTGCGGTGCTGCCACCGGTTCATCTCATTCCCCTCCCCTGCTACCACTTTTCTAGGATGGTCGTGTACCACCTGCCAGGTGCCAATATACCACAGGTGGTACCCGTACCGCTGGTTGAAAAGCCTTGGACTAAAGCATGGTCCATAGCAGTGATGGTGACCCTGGTACAAATGTGAAAGGTGACATGCCACAATGTTTTATGTGACATTCAGGGCTTTTTTTCTCATAGTACACCCAGAACGGAGTTCCGGCACCTTTTTTGGATGGAACCTTATAGGGTAGGCAAGGCGGGTTGTATGATGTGTGAGTTCCGGCACCTTTTTTTTTTTTTTAAAGAAAAAAAGCACTGGTGACATTCACCAAAACCCAGCAACTATTTTAGAAAGCCCATCCTTTTCTTGCGTGATTTTTGGAGGCTGCAGAAACTGAATGAGAATGGGGTGTGCTCTTGCACAGCCTCTGGATCCTCTGAAGATTGCATGGGAATGAAGCGTTTTCATCTGGCTTTCAGAGGCTGCCGAAGAACATTCTCTGAAGCTGCTTCAAGAATGAAAGCCTTGTGTGAACCAGAGCAGTCTCGGGTAGGCACCAGGCGTGTCAACAGAAAAAGAACACTGCCTGAAGGTAAGCAGTGTTATGAAATACCCAGCCAGGCAGGAAAAGGTCTCAAGCAGGGAATTAGCTTTGAATCAATGCGCAGACACAAAAGATCCTGAACTGATCCCCCCAATGTCCGTAGAGCCTTTTCTATCCCAAGAGAAGGCAAGCAGTCTACAAAGATTCCTGTATATTAGGCAAAATATAATATAGTCGGCTTGAACTCTATACATTTGGATCTGATTGCTTGTGCATGACAGATCCTGGGAAACACTGTATCACAAAGGACTTTTTAACACAATCAGATATGTTTACTATTGGATCTGCTGTGCTCAAATTCATTCATATTAAGTATGTGGAAATATCCAGTTTGCCTTTCATCAGGAAAGCATCATCAGATTTAGAAAGGCTCAGGGTAACCCAAGTTGGAGGCAATGTTAAGACTGTAGTAAACCACCAGAGAAAATAAAATTAAATATTTAGTAACATGCACATATAATCCCCCCCCCCCCAGTTAGCCCAAGGAGCTGCTGATACAGTTCTACAAAGGAATTATTAACTCTGTCATCTGCATCTGTATAACTGTCTGATTTGGCACAGCAACCAAACAAGACAGATGTAAGACTTCAACGGAGTTAGAACTGCAGAAAAAACAATTGCTACCAGCCTGACTTCCATTGAGGATCTGTATACTACACGAGCAAGAAAGAGGGCTGTGAAAATATCACAGATCTCTCATATCTCAACTTCTTCCCTCAAGACGCTATAGGGCAGCGATGGCGAACCTTTTAGAGACCGAGTGCCCAAACTTCAACCCAAAACCCATTTATGTATTGTCGGTGCCGGGTGGGCGTGGTCCATTGGGTGGGTGTGGCTGCAGTGGTAACAGCAGACTGGGTGGG